AGTCCACATGCGCTCATCTGATGTTTGGTCAGCAAACCCATGCGTGAGAATGTCTTTGAGCACCGGACACAACGATACCGTTTGACTTCCGAATGCGTTTGCATATGAGCTCGCAGATTGGACCGATCGGCAAACGCACGCGCACAGATCACGCAAGCAAACGGTTTCTCGCCCGTGTGCGTACGCAAATGCCCGTTTAGGAGCCACATTCGCGAAAACGCTTTGCCACACAGTGTGCATTTACATGGCAGTGTATGTGTGCGGACGTGCATTTTTAGCGCGGACATGGAATAGTAAATTTTGGTGCATAGATGACAACAAAATGGTCGATCCGATCGTGTAGTCGAACTAGAGTCGTGTGTCACAGTATTGTGTGGTTTGAATGCGGCGGACCCACTGGATGTCTGATTAGAGTCTGGACTGGAGCACTGAATCACGGAATGATGCGGAGTATCCACATCCACAGGTGATGACAGACGTTGCTTGAGTTTTATTGTTGTACAACTGGATGGATGAGGCAAGTCAGGGGCGGAGGTTCTCAGATTGGACCTTGTGGCCAGGACAGCTGTGCTTGCCGGGCTTGTTCGAGTGCATCTAACTGACTGACTGGTAGCATGCTTGTGTGTTTGATGTCTGGCCAGACCGGTTTGAGTGGAATAGCTTCGGGAACAATAGGTACAATTGAATCGTTCAGGAACCATGCGGACACGTGCTGTTGGAGTCGATGCTTTATCGACTCTATCCTCGTCATCACCGCGATCAAGAAGATCGGGGATAGAAAATCGATTTGTTCGTATTGGTTTCGCATGACTAATACTAGTAACAGTACCCTCGATCGTAGTTAGAGGACGTTTTGATATTATGTGTGGGTTGGTTGATCGAACGATTGAATCTGATGGTTTATCGTCAGCCGGAACTGTGGTAGTTCGACGACTTAAATCAATCAGAGGAACAACACGCTCATCGGTTATCGTATTTGGGTTTCGAAATGCCGAAACGGTAGCGGTGTCCAACGAGGAGGCGTTCGTATTCCAAAAAGGATTAAATGCTCCGGGCACAGAGTTTTGCATAAAAAACTGGATTAGCTGATTGATTTGATCCAGTCTTCCCGTTGTGTCCAAAAACTGATTAAGGGCGGGTATTTCAAATGGAGCCCGGTTCCTAACACTGTCCAGTCCAATCAAATTTGTCCATACATTTCCATCATGCTTCATCATCGGCCCGGATTGATTTTCCAGCAAAGATCGATTCCAGATATTTGAGAGACCAACATTCAATTTATCCATTAATTCCATCGAAACTGAACTGAGGTTGTTATTCACTGATTGTGTGTCTTCATCTCGCGTAGTTTTCCGCTTTTTCATACCATTTGGTCGATTTAGAGCACCGTTTTGTAAAATTGTATACATATTGCCAGCATTCATTGGGTTATTCACGAGACTTTGGGTGCTATTCGGGGTGAGGAGTTTCGTTTCGGGATCTTGTGATCCATTGGACACCTGAACGGATTCTAACGGGGGGCGCAACATTCCCGATATAACTGGATCTGATTTGATAGAAAAAGGAGAATGCAATGGAGAAGTTATGTTAATTGTGACGTTAGGAAACAGTCCTCAGTGGTGTAATACTTTTATCAAACATGTACTCAAATAATTTGAAATATGTTCCATAATTCTAAAAAGTAACAAATAACGATCCTTGTAGCATTTGACAGTTTTCTTTTCTATTCTGTTCCGAAGTTAATAAAGGAAAATCGTGCATACAACTTGATCCGTATCTGGATTTTATCTGTAACCAACAGGTTGAAGTTGGTATAATTGGCTTGCGTTAAACCCAAAGGTTTATGGTTNACCCCCGCCACTGTCAGCTTCCGGTCTAAGACCACACGTATGCAATTGCGGCCACGTGTGGTTCGCCAATTCGTGGCTTATGTTTCTGGTATTACCAAGTGAACAAAATGTACTCATGATACGGGGCTTTATCTCTGCATTCCCACGTTGCATAGTATCGTGAAACTAAAAAAAAATATCTTCATTTGTACGCAACAAATCATTCTTCAATATTTAGAAAAAGAAAGTAAGGCGAAATTTCCATTGCAATGACCAAGTACATTGCGAACCGATAACAGGTGGAAACAGTACAGATTACAAGTGATGACCCAGTGATAAAGACATTGCGAAAAATAACTAGTAATAGAAACCGGAACCCGCAGTTATACTATTTGGTCCTTCTGTGAAATGAGAGTTTCACCCCACAGAGTCATCCTCACCTGTATAGTTTGTAAGCGTGATAGTTTTGAGCTCCGTTGAAAAGACTAATGTGCATGGGCACCTACCTCGTGATCCAATCTGCGCCAGTCGACCATCGTACTACCGTCGCCAGCGTGCACATCCAATACAAATTTTTCGAACCCGACAGATGCGTCGGAAACGCGATTCGCGTGCGCGTATGCCATCATGTACATTCCACATATGCACACACACATACAGAAGCCAAGTAACAGGTATTCTCTCACTGGGATAAACTACTATTTACGCGCACATGCAGGTGTGCTACGGACAGGAAAGAGAAAAGAGAATGTTGAATCCGCCAGCCATCGTTTTGACAGGCCGAGCCTGCGAACTGTCAGATCAGTTATACATTTATCACCCATCCCTGTGTTTGTGTTACAGTTATGGATATTCACCTCGAATGATTCTTTTAGGCAGAGGGGGCTCAAAATTGTGGGTCATTTCAAGCGAAACGAAGTGGTGGAGAGAAAAAGAGCAAACTAACTGTATTCTTCTTGTATGTGTGTGTTGAGTCTCCTTTAGTGGGTCCGTTCCGTCGGCGTTTTAGACACCGTGCTATCTGTCTGTCTGTCTGTCCGTCCGTCCGTCATGTAACTTGCCGACAGAAACTATACACCTGACGTTTTGGATATCTATCTCTATCCTATCCAAATTTTTCGGATCCCTTAACACAACAAGTGTTGGACGAGCGAGTGGCCAGGTGGTAGATCCACCGAGAAACTCGCTTGGAGGACGGTTTACATACGTCAACACGAGACTTCCTGTCATACTGGGGGATCGTGGCATTCGGGAGCAGGTGGCGATGTAAATCCAAATCGATTTCTAATAGTACTACTGCTATTCATCCGCAACAAATCATCAATCGACTCTAACTGGCATCACGGACAAGGAAGTGTATCCATGTGAATGCGGAATAATTCAGTCGGTAAAGCTTTTGTGCTTAGCGTAAAAGATAACACAGTGTACCCTCTCCATGGTTATACTAATTAACTTTAAATTTGATGAAGTGCAGTAATTGGTCGAGAGAGAAAGTCCCTTTTCAAATGGTTCCCTCAAAACAATCAACATTTTGTTTGAACAGTTTTACCCAATTTATCCTGGCTTATCCGGTAACGGGGAATTTGTGCTTGCAACATTTTGTTTTGTTTTACTTTCAGTCAACGAACGGGGAAGCGAATTGCACCTCACCATTCGAAATAATGACGCAGTTCTTCCCGAATCAATCTCAACGAGCTCGTCACCACACAAACCGAATAGACACATATCTACCTGGATCCTCTCACTGTGCAGCCCGCTACGCCTAAACAACAATACGTAACATATGTGGGAAATCGGTCACAGTGTTGCAGGATTGCAAGAATCACTTCTTCCATTGAATACGTGCACCTATCTGGGTTTCTTACCCTGACCACGAATCCAGCTGCCCGTTCAGGATACCTTCGACTCAACTAGTTTGATTCCCTCCAACTCTACTGATTTCTTGTTGATGACTTACATTGAACAGAACATCTTCCAGGCCACTTATTCTGTCTAGGCAGTATTTTCACTAGCCACAAGAATGCAAGATAGTTGGAGCAATCTTCAAGTGTCTTAGTCTTGTTTAGTTTCGCAAGTAATAGCTCTAACTTAGTCAACTAAACCCCAATGTACGAGGAAATTGATGAGACACTTATATCGTTCAGATCAATTAGACGGTGTCAAACTGATTCATCCAGTCGTGATCCTAATCCACGGTTAAGCAGTCTATTCTGTGTATTCCAACTAGCCACAAGCGTGCAGAGCAGGGAGGGATGGGAGAGAATAAATTGTGGTCATTTTCTGTTTATTTCAGAAGAAAAGGACATGCTGATTTCTCTCACCTCGATCAAGCATAATCAGTTCTGCAGTCCTACAGCAATTCACTACACTTATAGGTGCGCGGGTGGGTGGGGGAGGGGGAGGGAGTGGATGAGGCCACCACTAGTTTCCCTGCCTCATTCTTCGACGGAGTACAATATTGTGTATGCATTGCACTCGGTCCCAGAACTCATCCATCACCACTTGTCGCTCTATGTACCGTCTAATTCGTCACGCCACTGTCCGTTTGCCGATTGATGGATCCCATAGCTGATTGGCACCTGGCAGGTGGTCCTTCTTGTAAGCACACACAGTGTTGGGTGTGGGTGTGATCATTAGACAAGGTGTGTGCTGTGCTGTACAACCAGTGTAATTTCGTTTTACATTCACTCAATCTTGTTTCTTTCGCCACG